GTTCCTAATTTAAAGATGGCTTTGATCGGTGCTCGGAAGGAAGGGTTGGGAGAAATTATAGAGGGAAGACGTGGAGGAGGGGGGGGGGGAAAGAAATGGACAAAAGGGAGACATTACATGCACCATCATATTTTCTGCTTTCAAAATTAACCCGTTTACGACAACGTGCATTTTTAGTTGTCTGCCCCGTGGGACAACGCCTTTCACGGAGGAGTCAAAAATTTCCAGCGAAAATCATGCAGATTGTCAACTACAGTATACCTACAGTAATTATATGAAGCGGGTGAGAAACGCAAAAGTATCTTCTAGAGTTAGAGCGTAAGAGAACTTCTGAAACGATAGCAGTCCAAGATAGCAGCCATTTTGACAAAATTTGAGCAGTGGCCCACTATGTGTGTCGCATTGTCCCACGTGGCAGTCATTGCATGACCCTAAGATGATTCCGAATATTTACGGTTAAACAATTCTTGCATAAATCAACTCAGGTATCATTATCTGAGCTTTGAGGTAGGACGGAGGAGGAGAGACAGAGAGCTGGAATAAGTGGTTAATTTATTTTATAGAGTTGCACTATGTTGATGCACAATCAATGCGTGTTACTTAATCTTGTGAAAAAGAAAAGGTAAAAAAATTCATGAGACATATCTTTAGATGATGATGTTCAAACAGTCTTAGAAAGTTTGATACGGATAGCTGGATAGAGGTTTAATCCGGGAAATGGATCTCTGCCAAGAAAAATCCTACAAACCCCCAATCGCTCACAAAAATTACATGTCGCATTCGCTTTGCATAGGTACACTTGCTGGTTCTTTTCCATAGCTTGTAGTAGAGGAAACAAAGTTTGGCATTCAATATTATCAATATTGGATTATCTCGACAAAGATAATGCCATACTACAAGCCCTTGGAAGTATAACAGCAAATTTTGAGCCTTATTCGAGCGCTGGTTGTCAGGGATATAGAAATATGATACAAAGACCCGAAGACGACGGTTTTGAATTTATGGCCTCTTTTGAACTTCATTTTCCATTTCAAAACGAATGCGGTAGGTGCACATATGATTATCTTATGTGTGAATATAATCAATGTTGGATGGATTATCTCGACATAAATAGTTCCATACTACAAGCCTTTGGAAGTGTAACAGCAAATTTTGAGCCTTATTCGAGCGCTGGTTGTCAGGGATATACAAATTTGACATAAAAACCCGAAGGCGACATTTTCGGATGTTTGATGCCCTTTCTTAATCTTCAATTTCCATTTCGAAAAAAATGCGGCATGTACACATACGATTATCTTATGTGTATAGTACATGCTTGACGAAGTTTGAAGTTAGCAGGATCTTTTTAGACGATAATCTGATTATTGGGTATTCAAAATTTGCTAGATTTTTTTTACAAGTTTACGTGGACTGAAGCTTTTGAGATGCCCACATACTATCTTATAAATCTTGCTCCACTATCGAGTAATATATTTTGTTCATTTTTATATGTTCTCTGGCACTTCAAAATAAGGAGCATGCATTAATTTTGCATCAGCCTACTGATTGCGCTGTCGATACTTGAAGGCTAATGTGCTAGTACCCTCAAAACACGACAGTTATAGCGATATTTTCCAGGATTTCACTACATTTCCAGTAGAACTGCTCGAGTAGTAGTGGATGTAATCGTTCCTGGCAGCACTCCAACTCTTAATAAAGTGAATTTTGTATTCAACGAATAGCGCAAAAGCACGGTGACTTCAGTGTTTTGCTATGTTGATCACAGCATGCAAACAAATCTGATCGAAGCGCCTGATATCAATTTGCAAGACGCGGTATACAGTGTTGCGTTCTCATTTCCTGAAGAACACAAATGGGACAGACTTCAGATGGAGCATGCATAAAGGTCTTCTAACGTAGGGACCAACCATGAATTTCGAGCGGTTTCTGCGCAGTGAATCATGTGAGACCACTCAAACTGCCAATGCTGGAATGTGTGGTGGGATAGTCTCAAACCAAACTCACGACGGCTTGGTGGCCTCAACTTTCAAAGTCAGGAGATATGGCCATTGACAGTTTTGAGAACAAAGATACTTGCTATTAAATTCTTTGCGGGTGAACGCATGTTTTCTAGGTACCATCTGAAAGAGCTTTATACGCTCTATCCATCCATATGCAGCTTACCTCATGTTTTATAAATCTTTGGAAAATATAGGGCGAAAAATGATTTTTTGGTTTTTTTTTGCGCCAAAAGTAGCTATTTCACAGGGTTTTTCGCTTTTTTCTTCTTAAATTTCAGAGAAATCTCATGTGTTTGACAAATTGTTTGAAAGAGCACGAGAAGCTCTCTTGAATTGTCCTAACGGTATAGCAGCGCAAAATCGAGAAATGTCTGAGTTCCTCACGGCGCCACGCGTACGGTTATGAGAGAGGAGCGGTAACGCGTTGCCACAATAATAGGCGAAGGTCGGTTTTTGTAAGCAACGTTTGAGGTGCAGCCTGCTTGTTGTTGGTGAAACAAAAAATCTCAAAATCTAATAAAAATCAAGCTGCCCCATTTTTTACCGTTCAAATGTATTCCACTGCTGCAGGAGTTCGACCAGGGATGTATTAAGAACCTTGGAAATATCGCTTTAACAGACTTGTGACTTGGAATACTAGCATGCTTTTCAGCATTGTCAGACATTACAGCGTTGGAAAGTAAAAGAGCCACTAATTCCTTCCCCCCCCCCATCCTCCAGCAGCCCTCAAAGCATCGTCTGTCTTCGTCCTCCACCCCCCCCCCCCCCTTTCTTGGTCCTCCAAATAATTTATTGCGACAATTCAGATAGTGGCTTACTTGAGTTACAAGATATGTAAAAACTTGTTTCTTGTAAATAATAGGTTATCTCCGCATTTTGAAAAATCCTGTAAAGAGCTTGATTCGTGCTTTCATATGGGATTCTCTTCAAAGGAGTCCATTGAGATACGAAGTTTTTTTTTTGGAAATGCGCAAGAACTTTTGGGAAAACCTAATATTTGATGACCTGATAACAGATAGTAGCAGATTATTTTAGTGAAACCAAAAGATAACCAGTGCGTATGTCTCCTTTCATCTTCTCCGCAAATTTCTCGAGCCACTTCCTCCATTCCCCTGCTTTCTAGTCTTGACCCGATCGAGATCACCTTTAGTTTGTAAACTCTGAGTATGAAGGGCCTTGAGAAAGGCTGTTTTACAACATTTCCGTACTATATAAGGTCGACTTTCTGGATTAGCGTCATGCACCCCGAGTAAGCAAAAAAATTTGTAAAGATTGTCAAGCAACTGCCTCAAACTAACACTATTATAGATCCACTTGCCTGATTCAATCACCATTGCCTCTTTGACTCTCAAATTCTGTTTATAGCTACACCTTGAAGTATGAAACATTTGCAGCACCTCCGACCTCTCCTCGTAATTGAAGATAAACAATCACGTGAAATTTTGCTTTTGACAGCGTTGAGAGTTGATCTGCTTTAACAATAAGCTTGTTTGCAGAGTTTACGAGCTTTTTCACTTGCCAAGCAGAAGTCATAGAATTTCGTGAGCTTTCTTATGAAGTGAAGAACGCTCTTAGAAACTTTGCGTAATCGCCGATATTGACGAGCAGCTGCGAAATCACCATAGAGTAGGCGCTTTCTACAAAAGTCGATGTTTAATATTCAGGAAGTGCTGGGCTTATTTGTTATCTTGCCTATATGATGATGCGGTTTTGCGAAAACTCTCACATTGTTGTGATGCAATCGCGTCTTAGAATTTCAGGTACTTTTCATGGAAATTCCCCTGAGCAGTAGATCGGACATAAATCTAAATCAATTTATTTCTTTTCCTTTTTTATTGATAATTAAGGTGTAGGACGCTTTTATAGATATAGACTTTAAGTAATCGTTGATGTTGGAGGACAAGCTCTAACATCACCCAAGACTGTCACGCTTTTACATTCCAAGGCTTGCTTCTCAAAAACTTGTACAACAATGAAGTCGTATGCATAGTTATAAAAAATAGCTGCACTGAGCATTCTGAATCCACCGCAAAAATTTATCCTCTAAGATCAAAGCAACCTGCACAATTACAGACTACCAGGTCAAAGTGGAAAATCTCAGTTACTTTTGACTAATTCGCAAAACCTGATTCAAATCAGAGAGAGATATAATGACATTTGGGGTTATGTCCAATCTGTTTTCACGGAAAATTTCCACGAAAAGTAATCCATTTCTAAAGGCTTGATACCATCACAACAATTTGAGAGTTTTCGCAAAACCGCATTATCGTTTAAGCAATATAGTAAATCAATCTCAGCACTTCCTAAACATCAAATATCGAGTTTTGTAGAAATATGGTTAGCCTTTGGGATTTTGAGCTCGTCCGTTAATATCAGCAGTTCAAAGTTTGTGAGAGCATTTTCACCTCACCAAGAAAGCTCAGAAGTTTTCAAGACTTTTACGTGGAGAAATTGACTTAAATGCCTTTGAGAGGGGAAAAATTCAGGTGCTTATCCCTCTAATTTTTTAGAATGCAAGAAAGAGTGTTGCAAGAGTGTAATGCAAGAGTGTTTAGCATTGTATTGTTCTTCAAAGCTTACGCCTTTTAAAAAGTAAATGTGAGGTAAACAAAGGTTTAGTAGTCTTTTCATCAAACACCGCTGTTCTGCAATTCTCAATGGCCATATCTAACTAACTACACAACACCGATGCTATCTCAAAGTTTGGTCTATTTCGCCATACTGTGACTAAGCAGCTCATAGTGACTTTGATAAGAGCTAGAGAATAATTTTTTGTAATATTGAAGACCAAGCTCAACATGCCGTAAAGCTTCTTGTACCAGATTTGACGCCACATTGACTTGTGGCGATTTCGATAAAATCGGCCAAATCGTATTATGATGCGACATCGTGATAGCGGTTCCTCAGCGTACTTTAACGAAGTTAAAAAAAGTGTGAGATTATCAGGATTGTGTTATGAAAGAATGCTATGGATCATCAACCAGTATAAAACTCCCTCAAGTTAGACTCTGTTATATTCATCAGATGTTTTCGTTTGTGCAAGTTATTCTCTTTGTGGCTATCATTGCCCGCACGCAAGCGCTCAAATGTTACTCAGGTGTGTTAGCCGTATCAAGTCGTAAGTCTACTCCAACATACAAGTTTGCAGGCCGTGTCTTTGACTCTTAGGATTTTTGCGATTTCAAAGAGAAAGGAGACCCTATAAAACCATATCTTGGTACAAGCTCGCAACAAATCCTTTGAAGACAGTGTCCCGGCAAATTTTGCACTTTCATATTTTTGCATGTTTCAGGGCTTTTCGACACGTAGAATCCGAATTTGAGCTTCAAACCAGGTGAAATGACCGTTTTTGAGCGTTTACCACTCTTCAACTTAGGTCACACGAGAGTTTCAGTGGAAAGTTGGGAGACTCTGGCACGAGGACCCTGTCGCCTGTAGTTTTTTGCTCTGGATGTCATGCACAACGCTATTTTTCGGAACGGGGAAATGTCATTCAGCCGGACTGGCCTGGAGATTAGTGGGGTGACCACAAACCCCACCACAGCTATATTCCCCGGGGCGCGAATCTGCCACGACACTGTCTTTGAGACTCTTTTTGAATCCTCCGCAGGTGTACGATGAGTTATCTGTTCCGCCGCAGATTCGATCATGCCGATAAGAAGCCGTTCGTCGAAAAGACGTCAAAAAGACGCGTCGAAACTCGAAAATTGAAATTTCGAGATTAAAAAACCCTTTGAATGCACTCTAACTAGTAAATGACAACTGATCTGGCATCGAAGGGAGATGCATGTCACCAGACGCGCCTTCAAACTCTGATCTAAAATCTGCTTTTCTTTGCTACGGAAGAACTTTTCGAAAAAAGTCACAAGCTTATAGCATGCTTTAATCAATCAGGCTAACGTTTCGGTGCCTTCACCTTCGTCGGAGCCTTCTGGAAGGTCGTCACATTAGTGGTTTGTTCTCCCGAACACCTCGTTCAAGCCAAGGTTACATTCAACATCAAGCCAGGCTGCAAGCCGTGGCGGGAACCGTCGTTCATGCTCACCTCGGCTGTCTTCGAATCGGGGTCGAGCCACCACTAAACACAGCGTCTGCACAGTCAGCAGTAGTAGAGACTAGTACAAGTGCCTTATATAGATGAATCTAACTCAGTGTAGATCAAATCCGCAAAGGGACTGATATGCAGTTAGTTCACTATTCATGGCAACGCCCTCTTTTTTGGTTCATTGCAGGGGCTTTGGATGTTATCCAAAATGCTTCTAGCGTTTTACGAGGAATTATTTCGGGTTCACGCGTTAAGACTGTAACGGCTATATTAAATTGTTGATCCGAGTGATATTCTCTGAGATGTGGGCCTAGGGGGCAGTTCGGTTTAGATTTTTTTATAAGACCATCTAGGTGCTCTTTGATTCTCACGCAAAGATGCCTGCCAGTCTCTCCTATGTACTCTTTCTCGCAAGTTTGACAAGTTATTTGATAAACTACTCTTGCCTCCATGCAATCGCCTGGTTGACCAAATGGGCATACGACACAATCGGTATTCATGCACAGTCGATCGTAAAAGCGATTACGAATTAGTTGTTTCTAAGATTGGGAGGAGGAATATCTACAATACTAACGGAGCCAATGAGGCCTGCATGTTCTAAGCTTTTCCTTATCGCTCTGCTGAATTCCTCAGATATAAAAGGGACACAAAAAGGTATTTTTGCTTCATTCCTGCTTGTGCGCGATCTGTATTCGTGCCAGGTACGTTTCGATAAATGGTTTGTGGGGTAGCCAATGGACTTCAATCTGTCTGGCAAGACTTAACGAAGTAGCGCGTTCTTGATCGGAGGAAACTGCCTTTGCAGTCCTAAACATATTGGAAATTACCGACCCTTTTGTGCTCCAAGGATGGGCCGAGTGATAGTGTACCAGGATATTTCTGCTGCTTGGTTTTCGAAACCACTTGGTCTTGTATGATCCATCACGAAATTGTACTTGGATGTTAAGGAAAGGCAGCCAGTTTTCGCTGGGCTTCTCTCGTGTAAACTTTATGTGTGGGGATTGGCTGTTTTGCAGATTGAAGCAAGTGTCTAGTTCGTCTTGTGTAGCGCACATAATACAACAATTACATAGCGGCAATAAAGTATTGGTTTGCGCGCCAGTACGCTCTCGATTTTTGACATATAGGCAATGGCAACGACAGGTGCCAGCCTTTGGCCCATCGCCAATCCCCTAACTTGTCTATAGTATTGCCCACACCATCAAAAAATGTTGCAGCTAAGGCATCCTTTGAGAAGAACCATCACATGCCGGATATCAAAGCGTACAAGTTGATGGAGCCATGGTGTTCGCACAATATCTCGTAAACCGCTTCCATAGCCGCTTTATGCGAAACATTCGTATATAATGAAGTGACATCGAATGATTCGATGACACAATCTTTAGTTAGAGGCGCCTTGATCATTTGCTCAAGAAACATGCTCGTATTTGTTAGATTAGCAGGAATATATCGAAGCAATTGCGTGAGAATCAAGTTAAGCAGCCAGGATATCCTATCACTGGGACTTCCACAACTGCTTACAATAGGCCTTATTTTGAACTCTGCAGGGTCCGAGGAGAGGATATTACTAGCAGTGAGCTTGTGGGTTTTGATGAGCACGTAAAGGACAGGACATCTGGGCAGATCGCATTTCAGATGTGATACCAACTTCTTCGGTAAGCCAACAGAATCAATATCTGTGCATAGTCTGTTGAATCGGCGATACTCTTTTGCAAATTTGCTCTCAGAGGAAGCCTGATATAATGTCTCATCTATCAAGTGATGTCTTCTTATAACCATATCTAGTTCCCTTGTCAAAACGACGAAATCCCCTCCTTTATCGCTGATGGATATCTTGATCTTATTACTAGCGCGTAGTTCATGAAGTTCGCGGAGACCAAGATGCTGGGCAGGTGTTAAATTGGAGATGGGATGTCTTTTTGAAAAGCGTGTTAGAAGTGTGAGAACGGATGTGGCTAGTATTCGAAATTTTGCATCTATCACTTGATGGGGAACTTGTGGCTTAAAAGTCAGAGAAGGGAAAGGATTGGGAGCATAGGTGCGATAGGGGGAGCCGGGCTCTCCCCAGGTGAAGGGGGTCTCGGCTGTTCCCGACCTCCCAGGGTGAAGGGGGTATGTGAGTCTGGGGGGGGGGGGAGGAAGAGAGAAAAGGTAAAAGAGCGTGGTCTGAAGAGCTCTAATTTGTACCTTAATTGAAAAAATTTGTACCAAATTGAAAAATTCAAAATTTTTTAAAAGAATCTTTAAAAATTTTAAAAAATTGATTATGAAGATCTGTGCTCCTGTTTCACTGCATCAACAAAAAACGAAAGCAATAACGTTTATCCCAAAAGATGTACAAGTTAGGAACAACTTCATTTCCTGCACATCATCATCAACAATATCACTATCGCTAACGCCAGAGACAACAAGTTCGCTGCCTAAAAAATCTTCTTCTTCCTCCAAAAGGTCATCGGAGTAGAAGTAGAATTGCGTGCAAAAGCGTTCTGAGTCGAAAATGGATTTGAAACTTTCTTCTTCTTTTACGCGCTTTTGTGATTTTTTTCTTGGCCCTCTGGTAGCACCAGGAAGTCAGCAGGTAAGTGACCAGTTTCTTCATACCATCTTTTATTATATTTCAAAGAGTCATACGACAGCCTGTCTGGACCACTTATACCAATCCTTTAAATGAAGTTTTTAGATAACAATGTGTTTAGTAGAAGGTTGACAAATCTTAAGTATTTGCTTAGATGCTCTATCGTTGTAGACTTCTGCGTTGTGTTATGATAACAGAGTAGATAGAAAATTTCTTTCTCCACCTCTGCCGTGCTAGTCGGAATGGAAACTAGCTTTGCTAGTAGGTCCATCAGATTTTTGCGGTAAGTAATGGGAAAAAAGCCAGATCTCATATGCTTTCGCAACACGGGAAGGAAATAGTGCATACTTTTTGGGCCTTGTCGAACTCTGGCTTCACCTCCTCTGGCATACGTCCCTGTTAGCTGATTAGAAAGCTGCTCAACTTCTTCTTTAACAGCATCTGCGGAATAGCCGAAAAAAGGAGGTACTATGCTGTGCGTTGGTTTTTTTCAATATCATAGATCATATTGTCACAAGGTGAGTAACTTTCAAAAGCATAAAGCACAGAGTTGGGTTCGCACTCCAGCCGGGATCTAAGTGCATTAACTATGCTTTGTACTAACACCTTCCTTTTGTTTATATCCATGTTTGTGAATTTAGCAGCCTTGAATTCTTCAGCAACCTGAAGATCAGCAATGGACTTCCTGGACATTTTCTCATTGGAACTAGACAATCTGCTTGGATTCCTTATGCAGGAAATCAGAGAGTATCGCTCAATTGCCAACTCTGTATCAATGTCGAAAACATTTTCGTCGGCGTAAGATTCTCCTTCTGCCTCGCTGTTGAACTGGAACACATGCGAGTCATCTGCGATTTTGTGAAGTATTCTTTCTGCCGTTTCCGCGTTTTCACGAAAGTGACCTTCTTCAGCACTAGGTTTACAGAGTATAGATTCCAGTAGTGGGCGGGTTTTTGTGTGAAGGTGTGGAAATTCACCTATCTCCCATAGTTTTTTGAGTGTGTGCTAATAATGATGGCATGACTGTCAATCAAAAAGCGCATTTTTTACCAAAAAAACATAAACATATAACAACGACAAGCGCGCTCAAATAGACGCGTTCGCTCACGTTCCCGTTAGTGCTGATAACGATGTCAATCCACAGCACATTTTTTACTATTAACTTGCTCCACCTCGCTCTTATTAGGTCGTCCAGAAAGTTTTTGCGCATGAATTTCAAATTCATAACTTCTGATTTTTCCCAACCGATTTGACTGCTTTCACTTTTATGTGAAAGGGTAAGCCATGCTCTTTATAATGACTTCTCAGCTGCTTAGTAATGGTCAGTTGTCTGGTAACGGTCTGTTGTGCATAGATAGGAGCGATAGAAGAAAAAATGGTAAAAATTTTAATTTTCTGTGTAGGGTCATAAAAAATCGGAGACTTGCAACAAAAATCGGAGCAGTCAGTACTGTAGGATCTTTCACCAGCTCTTTCT